TGTTTTACCATAACCGCCTCGACAGAGAAAGAGAAGTGCTAAAGCAAAGCTGATGGTCAGAATCGATTGATTTCTTGGGTGCGCCACGCGATCAACTGCTTTTCAGAATACTGATGGAATAGTTGAATGCCTCACCGTGTACGTAATGAATCATGTCTCACATCAGAACAAATCCTATAAATACTTGTTTTTGTTTGTTTTGATGGATGCCCAGACAACACACAAAACCCGGGATGAAGTCAGGCTGTCTTATCAGCTATCCATTTGTTCTACACTGAAGGTCGTTTTATCTCACGAGATTGCTCGAAAGAATTCTCACTGTCAGACCTTTCGATAATCAATTCTTGACGAGAGATGATAACCAGTTGAATAAATCTATAAATAAATAAACCAGTCTATAAATGCTCTCAGAGACAGAAAATATGGAAGTTCTGCGTGATCTGGACGGTACTCGATTCGTCGAGTCCTCAATTACAATAGCTTGCAGTAAGAACTCCGTCATTGTCCAACCTCTTGCGGAATGCGCCACACATTCCATTCCCGTTCAGAATCGTGGTGGTCCCTTGATTTTATCTGGTTCAAACAACAACATGCGGCACTGATGATGTGCAAACCAGCCAGTCAATATCTTTGTGAAACCCATTTCTGTAGTATCAGTACAACAAGAGGGTTATGAGAAGCTGTCGGACCGTAAATCAAAGGTTCAATTGATCTAAATCAATGATACATGTGCGCTGCCAGTCCATATCTGCTGACCAAGACGTTTCTTTTGAATGAACTTCTCTTTTCTTTCCGACTTCTCTTTTCATAAGGATTTCGAAGGCTACTCATGTTCGCAGTATCATCGTTCCAAATTTTTTTATTTGTTTTCCTCTTCGCAATATCTTTTTTTTTTCGACGAAAGATCCTATCTGAATGCGCAATCGTCCTCAAAGGCACACTCCACGATCAAATTGGTGTGGTTCTTGTGCACGAAGAACAGAGATGCGTGTGGAAAGGCAGTGGGAGAGAAAAAAATAGTCTGTCGAAAATGCCAAATTGAAAGCTTTTCCATCTTTGCAATCGGCTGCGCTATCGTAAGGCGATGAGACATGTAGCGTGAAGAAGAGGGTATAGGCGAGAGAGCCACCGAATGAGAGGCGCAGACATCCACAAGTTAAAGGATAAAGGATAAAGCATTTAATGACGGTTATGGCAAGAGCCGAAGCGCCGCTGGCGTCCTCTTTCTTGGTGGGTTGTTCTGCCTCTGACGCATAAATGTACTAATCCCCTGCCACACTCATCGAGGACTGTGCCTTCAGGATTTAGAGCTCAGTTTTCGAAGAATTATGGCGTTAACTTTCAGGGCGTCATGTCAAGGTTTTTGGAAGATTATGTCGTTGCTATTAGCAACCCCCTGTCGTCGCTTAAGAAGGCTGACTTCAGCACTGATACCTTGCCGCGAGAGCCTCGCCCGAACTTCTTCCAGTCACGTGAGCTTAGTTTTGATATTGGCTTTTTTCAGGGAGAATTTGTTGGACATTTATGTGTGAATTTTCTTGCTGTATAATGCTTTTCTCAAAATTAGTCGATTAGCCTAGTTAACATTTCTTTACGTAGGACTTCTGAGAACAACTCTTTTTGATTTGACCTGGTTTTTCGATAGAACGCGCAGGACTCTCAATTTCTAATCCCAGCCTAGGGTACCTTCAAATGCGTCTCGTTCATGTCGAAGTGAATTTCTGAG